AATGAATGCATTATGAAGGTGCACTTATTGTTAAGTGTTACCATATATTTATAGACATGTTTATATTACTTTATGAATGTATTACAGTGCATTATGAGGGTATGTATAGTGCATTTATATAATTGCTTTAATTGTTGCCATTACCTTTAAGACAGAAACTCTCATTTTAGGCCTTCTTTGTCTTCCAGGAAATAAACAGGAGTAGACTGGTGTATTATAGCCACCTCATTCAATGGATGATCCTTGTAGAACATCTGTTGACCTCTCTGACCCCTCTGTGAGGAACCTTTCAGGCTGGGGTGGGAATTGTGACTATGGAGAAGTTCTGGGGGGCCCTGGAGATGGAGCCAACATTGCCATCCGCGCGTTCATCGGGATGGTACTGGTGGCTATCATGCTCATCTGCGGGCTGGGAAATGGGCTCTTTGTCTGGGCCCTGGCCAGCAGCAGGCAGCTGTGCAGTGTCTCCAGTCTACTGATCGCCAATCTGGCAGTGTCCGATCTGCTGGTGGCGCTGGTGTGCTGTCCCTTCGAGATGCACTACTATGTGCTGAGGGACCTGTCATGGATCTTCGGGCAAGTCATGTGTTCGGCCGTGTCATATTTGCGCTCCGTGTCTCTCTATGTCTCCACAGACACCCTAATGGTCATCGCCATTGACAGGTAACTTTTCTCACTCCGAGTCTTAAAGTGGCAGTTCACCCCAAAAGTGATAAAGATGTGTTTTCGAGGGGCTTTAGTGCTATCTATCAATCTATGTTGCTCTGCTGGGAGTTGCCTAGTTTTGGAGATATCAGCCGTAGAATGTCGGTCTTCGTTCGAATATAATGGGACAGAATGGCATTCTTTCTTTGGTGATTAAAGCACCAAAAAAGTATATTACAAAAATTAAACAGCAACGTCTGTTACCAGAAATCATGAACTGGTTACATGCTGTTTATGAACAAGGAAGTCATTGGCTTTAATAACCAAAGAAACTAGTAAACCAATGACAAGACAAATAAATAACCTATGTTCTCGTTCGGGGTTCATCGTCTACATGTCACAGTTTATCAGTTTTATATGGGTTAAATGCAGCTTTCGTGAAGCGAAACAGTGATAAACATCTTCTAAATGTGCAAGCGCAATGTAATATTTCTGTTGCACATTTAGATTGACGGAACTACGTCTTTCCCCCTTTCGAATCAAAGTAAAGAGCTGTGCGCGCTCCTGACTGGGAGTGCATTTCACGGCAGGGGTGCAGAACTCAGCACAACACCTGATTCAGAAAAAGTCCGGCACCAGCACTGCGTTGGTGGATAATGAAGCTTAAGTGAGACCTTTATCCACCAGATTCATACACTAATCATTCCCTTATTGAAACTGGTGATCATGGACTTTTAGCTTACATTTGATCCAGGCTTCAGGGACAATCTTTATGGAAGAGCTGTTTGACATGTGGTTTATTCATATTCTCTGGTGTGTATTTTACTTTGGGGCGACTGTGGGGCTTCATAGCATTGTGATTGTGTTTTTTTTGTGCTGCATCAATTTATTAAATTCTTGTGGACGTTGGTTAGCACTTGACGTTTAGACTTTATCTGTTCACCAGTTTAACTAACTGGTGTATAAGCTATGGATGACAAATCAGACATTAATCTAAATCACAAAAAAACACAACAATAACTTATGTCACAATGTTTTTCATCATATTATCACACATTAACTGTACCTTGATAATGCCTTTATACGGCATTCATAGAACATTCAGTGCACCTTCATAGTGCATTCATAGAACATTCAGTGCACCTTCATAGTGCATTCATAGAACATTCAGTGCACCTTCATAGTGCATTCATAGAACATTCATAAACAGCATGTAAGTATACAGTACCTTAACATCCAAACATACCTTAAAAACTTTAATATGCATTAATAACATTTTATGGAAATAACAATGATTATAATCGTATAATTGTATACTGCGTGTTATTAATCTACATTAAAGCTGTTAAGGAATATTAGGATCTTAAGGTATACTTACATGCTGCTTATGAATGTTCTATAAATGCATTATGAAGGACGTTTTATAAATGCATAATAAATGCATTATGAAGTGCAGTTAATCGTTACCTAATATTAGAGAAAAGTGCATTAATGTTTGCATTTCTGTTATTTATGGATTTTCCATGGCTGTATCTCTGTCTGAGTTTAGCACTCTTATATCACAGGTATCTGGTGATAGTGTATCCATTGAGGCCCAGGATGAGCATTCAAAAAGCCTGGTGTGTCCTGGCTGTCACCTGGACTCTGTCCCTGCTCGTGGCCTTGCCTTCTGCCTACTTCAGCACACAAACCATGTTCGATTCCTTCCATGGGTCACCTGGCCAGAAGATCTACTGTGTCCAGATCTGGACAGCCGACAAGGCCACACTCTACAAGTCCTACTTCCTGTTCCTCTTCGTAGCCCAGTTCCTCATCCCTGTGCTTGCCATGTCTGGGTGCTACACTCGAATCTGCCAAGAGCTCTGGCTCAAGCATCTTCCAGGAGTCCAGACGCTGCAGGTCCAGGGCCAGTTGAGGGCTCGGCGAAGGACAATGCTGGTGCTGCTGGGGATTCTGGCCACGTTCGTGCTGTGCTGGGCACCCTACTACAGCTACACCATCATCCGGGATTTCTTTCCCAGGTTGCTGTTGCGTGTCACTCACTCCGTCTCTCTCTACTACCTGGTTGAGTGCATCGCCATGAGCAACAGCATCATGAACACGGTCTTCTTCATCTTCGCTAAGCGTAAGGCTGGCCGCTACCTGTGCAGGTCCCTGCTCCGCTGCTGTCTCCGCTGGTCCCCAACTCTCACCCCTGAGCAAATGAATGTACAGAACCACCTAGCTGGCCAGCCCACTGCCCGTCAATGAACAGAAAACATGGCCAGTAAGATCACAAGTCCCAAGGCACTCTAATGGATATGAAAAGGAAATATTCATATTTATACACAAATATCATTAATCATTCTAGACCATCCTGGCTTCAAATAGCCAATATTCTAAGCAAGACAGGACCATCCAAGACTTGGTGCTGAACAAGTTGTAGATGGGAGGCCACCAGATGCACATTCGCTGGAGCTCCATCAGTGCCAAGACACTTTACAAGGACACTCAGATGGCCAGGCGCATCCAGCAGTGCCACGTGTCACCGGACACAAGCTAGGACAGCCTGCATGCCATGTCCCTCCAGTATGAACCTTCCATCAAGAAGACCCTGCAGTCCCAGTTAATGACTCAGCTACAGTACTGGAGAGAACCGCTGGACATGTCTCAATGACTAATATATATATAGTCTAATAAATTCTTAAATATGAATGCTAAGCTATGTCCCATGCTCTATGTTCTGCACCAACGGGGGCCTTTAATTTGGGTTTTAACTATTACTAAGATCTGTATTAGTATGTCAGTTTATTAAACTTTCTTATTGTTGTATTCTCAGTCCTGAGAATACATATGGTTTTGGGACTGGTCTGCCGCCACAGACACATCTTATTAGTGCGATAGAGATTGCGGGATGTGGGTGGAAAAAGCATCAGATGGGGGGGGCGATGGGGCTGTCTGGGGAATATGTTGTTGTCGTTCCGACAGCATCTAAGCTTTGGACATTTCACAGGATTCATCACATCACTGTCTCTTTCAGCTTTTGCCATCAGGCAAGAGATACAGAGCCATGAAAACCAGGACAAATCGCCTGAAAAACAGGTTTTATCCCAAAGCAATCATAGCTTTAAATGCAAAACATAACAGTTCATTTCTTATATTTAATCAGTGCAGTATGGTTTTTCAGTGCAATCTGTACAGTCAATGCAGTATTCAGTGCAATTTGTATATTTTGTAATATTTTATTACTCTTTTTATACCTCACATTGACTTGAATTGCATTTTCAGTTTCGTTGTCCAAGTGACAATGACAATAAAGATTATCTTTATCTAGTTTAGACTGCCTTAGAAATCTGTCACCTGTCTTTTTCTTGTAAGCCTTCCCTGCCATTTAGCTTACCATAGCCATGTAATATATTTGGGCGGTGATTACAAAGAATTCTACACATCACAAACTGATATATTTTAGCAAACTTGATTTAGTTTTCTTTCAGTGTTTTTGACCAATTAATGTTATTCAATGCATTAGTCAGTCAACAGTTTAGTTTATTTGAAAGAAAACTTGAACACAGCCATCACAGATGGCTTGATCGAGGCCAGCATCAACCATGAGTCAAGGGATTTGTCATGTTAACAGGGTATATAGTGAAATGCAGCTGTATGAGCAGACTATACTGTGCTACTGAAAATATTGTTTTAAACCAGAAAGGGGAGATTCTGTGGTTTGGGGTGTGCTGGTTAATTACGACTAAATAGCAAGATAATTGGTCACTTTTCACCTTTTAAATATGCCTGTCTGACAGCCAGGAACATATTAAAGTCACAATAATGGACTGCATATAGGTGACAGGACACTCAAAATCACGCTTAAAACTCCCTAAAGCAAAAAATATATGGTGCATGCAAGGTGTCCTAGAAGTTTCTCTTCAAAACTGCTTCATTTCCGTGTAGTATTATTTTGTATTTGTAGTTCATTATATGTATAAATGTACTTTAATGACAGGACATGCGTGGGGCGTGTGTTAATGTTTTGTGAGTGATGGTGAACGTACTTTATTTTTTATGTTTAGCAGTACAAAGCGTGGGTTAAGTTTGGAGTGAGAGAGATTGGGATGTCTGAGCCATTTCAGTCTGGCGACCGTTACACAAGCGGATGCACGTGTAGTGAAAGTTAAGACAAGTATTAATATTTGTAGATTCCTATACTGGATAAAAGGTTCGCGGGACACGAGCACTGTCTGTGTGGCGCGGGAAGGTCCCGCTAAGCCAAACAGCCCCGGTAATCCGTTTCCTTACCAAGTCTCTTCTTTGTCATTTCGAGGAAGAACATTAACCTTAATTTTCACAGCCTGAATTTAAAAAGAGTAAACCATGCTAACCCTGATAAAGCAGGTATGCAGTTAGTTACAGTGGTAGGAAAACATTTTTTATTGTTATTTTGAGGAGACGATCATTATCGATTACTAGTTTTTCAGACTTCGTTCGACCGTTCGATACACTTAAATTTAGGCAAATAGTTTTACAACAAATGTCAGATTAAGGAGTCTCTGGTTGACCTACTTGACTCTGGTGTTTAAGTAGCTCGTTTCCTATGTAAAGGACAGTTGATATGAAACGTATTTAAGTTTCGGCTGACATGTCGGTCGGTTTTGGGCGCCATTAATCCATGGAATATGACTGTATTCTCTCTAACATTCTCTTAAATTAATGAACTTCAAAAAGTACTTAACTTAACCTCCTAAAGTGACTAATCCTGTGGATTTTGTGGAGATTCTGAGAGAGATTTGGTGAACACGGTGTCTTATTCGCCTCGTTTAGGTTGCGTTTAAGATTATTTTTCAGCCTTTCCAGCTCACCATGAAGGTCTGCCTGTTTATCAGGTAATCAGACTACTGATGGTTACGGTCCATCATAGCCAGAAGAGGCAGAAGGGATCAGGAAATGTGAAAGGAGGTCTTTTGGTTTCGGTGTCAGCAGAGACCGCCGGATCTCCCTCTGACCATGTTTGTGGTACAGGTACAACAACAAGCTGGTGACTTATGGTGAAATATCTGTCCGTCTAACTAAAGCGAAAGCACTAGGCATACTTGATTGTTATATGACAGAACTAGATTGGATTCAGTTTTGTCCCGTTTATGGTTTCCAGTTGCAGCGGCTGGATACTGGTGCTCAGAATGCACATTTGAAGATGTTCAGCGTGGTAAGCCTTAATCTCAAAAGATTACGATGCTGGAATTTTAATATATATATCTTGTGTCGAGCAAATTGTCATGATGGTAAGTGGTATATGAAAGTTTTTTTTTTCCAAAAAGTTATATGACATTCAAAGTGGGTTAACTGAAAAGTATTGGTAAATGGACAGGATTTTGGATTCTGATTTTAGATTAACTGTCTAACACCTAGGAATGCTGAACGTTCATGGAGTAGGGGAAAAAGTCAAAGTATAAAAGTAAAATTATTTGTTTGCTTTTTGGTGCATTAAACATTATTCCATAGTGTCTTTCCACTGTCCTTTCTTTGTCTACCAGAGGTCACGCAAAATTTAGATTCATCCATCTCAATAGGCTCCCCTACTGACCCAGAGCAACTTAGTGAATTCTTAGACAGATGTGGACCTCTTCGTTTCCACATTTCTTTCCAGGTGTGTGTGAATCGCACTGCTTAGATACTCAGGGAGAACCTGTTATCTTCCAGTGAGATTCTCCTGCCATGTCTGCCTCTTTTCTCTCTTTCACCTGATTTTCTTCATAAAGTCCTAGCTGTGATGTGGATCTGAAATGGACTGTCACACAAATTACACAAATATCAGTAATTTACCTATGAGGCTGCTTAATTAGTAATGCAAATTGTTAGCCCGATGTTCTGAAGTAGTTCATGTTGATCAAAGTTTAAAGAATTAATCTTATACATGAATTCCACCCAGAAATAATTGTCAAAAACAGGGTAAAATTAGATTTATCATGAATCCTTAGTGGTAAAAAAATATTTAAATATTAATATTAAGATATTAAAAGATTATGATGAAGTAGTCCCTGGCAATAGCATGAAACTACCTACATCAAACACTAGAAAACAATGGAAAAATGCTAATTTTATCAGTCACTAAACCAAAGTTAGTGCTACCTGTATATCACACTACTACAAACACAATATATACTCAACAATGATATGGTTTTTTGCATTACATTGTTTTACAATTTTCATGAGATCAATGGACATTCAGCCCACTGAATGGATTATTACAACCTTAAATTTTTATGGGGAATTGGCTTGTCTGGTTCAACACATTCACTCCATTTAGAAATATTCATCCCTAATGGATTATGTGCAGTGTGATACCAAAACCACATCACCATGCTTATGTGATACATTTTACGACATTTTCTATGGACCTTTAATTTCATGTAAAATATTAAGCTATTCCCTATGAACAATTGTAAAATTCTCTGCTTAAGACTGGTTTTCTCATTCAATTCATTATACCTGATGATGTGGGCTGTTTAGAGGGTAGAATACTAGGAAGCAATTTTTAACTATGACTCACATATTCTTTACAGTTAATTTTGAGGTTATTTCTTCTTCAAATTGTCCATTTTGTTGGAAAATAACAACAATAATTGTAATATTATGAAACTCCCTATGATTTGTGGGTTTTTCCTTGCAGTATGAGAACATGCAGTTAGGCTAACTGGCATCTCTAAATTGTCTATTGTGTGTTAGTCCGAGATTCCACTCTCACCGTGAACTTTTACTGGATATGCAGTTCAAAAATGGAAAGAACAGCTTACAGGTAGAGTGCGGTGCCCTCTTGTGGACATAGTGACTCAGTCACAGTTCTGTAGGTATTTGTACTGTGGAATGTAGGATGTGTAATTTTAGTCTCGCTGTTCTCACTGCATTGATTAAACCTCACTAATCGGTTGTAACAAGACCAGTGCTTTAAATACTTAATTAGCATACAGCAGAAATTCACATCCACATGTTTGGTATGTTTATGATCTTCCAGGTGACTGGAAGGAGTCGGGTTTCTGAAGGAGACTGGCTGAAGACAGAACAATTGTTACACCGACTCAGCCTTGTCCATGCGCAAGTAAGATTCCAGTTATACAACTGTTACAACAGCTATTAAACATTAAAGCCAAATGTAAAATAATATTTACCTCTGTTTGACAGTCTTACACATTTGTTAAGATTAGTGTCTGTGTTTTCCTTAGGTGGAAATTTACTTCAGTTTAAAACTAAATGAAGCCATATCCCAGAAAATCTATCGGTATGTTGTTGTCTACTTACTGATTTTAATGAACATTAGGCCATTGAGCAAGGGCCTTAACCCCCAAAACACTCCAGAGGCAGTGGATAAATCGACTGGCCCTGCATATGAACCCCAAGCTTTGCTCTTAAATGCCTATATGTGTGTGTGTCTATGTCTCAAATGAGAGCTAGGAGGGGTACATTTGAAAAGAAGTATTCCAGTGTACCTGTACTCATATTGTGCACATGGCAAATAAAGCGGCATTTTATCATTTTATTTCATTTGAAATACTGAGCACACTCTAGTTCTAATCTGTCGAGTTTTTTTCTGTGTTTTTTTATTTTTCTGGGCTGAAAACACTGGTCTGAATAGAAGATAAAGTAAATAAAATAAAAATATATATAAAATAAAAGAGTAAAATGCACATGTGTCTAATAAATGTACCCATAATGTTTATATATTATTGACTTATGTTAGCTGTACATTTTAGTGGAACCACGCAGAATTTAGAATCAGAGTCCTGTGGCCTGTTCTACGAAGCGAGGTTACTGGCTTATCGGGGTAACTTGTTGGATTTAAGGTAGTCTGGGCAAAATGTAAGTTACCCCAATAAGCCAGTAACCCCACTTCGTAGTACAGTGTTCTCTGCTTAACCTGATTCCCTAACCACAGCTGCAGGGCACACTGGAGGTTTGCACTATTGGGCGGCTGCATAGGCACAGAGAGCGCCCTCTATCTACTGTGAGTGCCTCGCTGGCAATGTTCATTATCAAATAAACAAACACTGTGAGGCTCGCATAACCCTATCGCTGCTTAATTTCTTAAATGATTGATTAATTTTTTAATCTTAAAGGTAGTTCATCTGGCTATTTTGGTAATATCCGATTATATTGTTTTTAGGTTGCCATTAGGTTTAGCCTCCTGAGACCCAAGGAAAAAAGTGTCCTTCAATTTTTTGGTTATTTTTCTTTGGAGGAAATAAGACATCTTACAATTTAGATTTTTCAAATAAATTTTTATGTTTAATTTCACAGCGTGTCCTCTTTAGTGTACAACAGGAATAAATTACTTACATCAATGAAAAGATAGATGCAAAAACAAAATGTCCACCACAATGGACATAAATGAATGGGTGGGGTCTCAGGAGGTTAGGGTTAGGGTTAGGGTTAGGGTTGGTATTACTGTGCTATTATTAAAATGTATTCAGATATAGACTGCATATCCAACAGGAGTAAGCTGCTGCTTAGCTATAGCAGTTGATTGATAAACATTGATTACTTCAGTCAGCGAGTAGAGCTGAGGCTAAGACTCAGTGTGACTTGCAGGCCTGGGCCCCCTGCTGGCCCTAGTGGTCAGTGCACCCAGCTGCACCCTGTTCCCGGTGCGGCCACCCCCCTGCTGCTTCCTCACTCTCTGGTTGAGATGGGTCTGTGTGGCACCATCAGCCTCCTTCCCGCCGCGGCCCTCAGCCCCTGTGTGGCTCAGAACCCTAACTGGCCAGCCCAGCTTGTTGACATACGCATATCCTTCCCCTGGCACTTTGCCCATGTTTCTGGACATGCATGTGTGTTCTTATCCTTTTCTGTATCCCTGTATTGAAATTAATTAATCAACCAATTAATCAACTAATGATTTATTAATTGATTGATTGATTAACAATGGTTTCTGAGTACAGCTTCTAAAAGCATGAAAAGACCTCCTTTTCGAATAGAGTATTTGGTTTATATTATTATAAATAGTGACAGCTAGACCAATCACCGCTATATAGTGACTGTACATGATGTGTCATGTTCCTTAATGATATCCACCATGATGTGTCATGTTCCTTAATGATATCCACATTTTTCTTTATGGTCCCTCCAATCTGCCCCTGTTGTGTGATGCTGAAGAGCGTCCCCTAAGCTTCCTACGTGATTTTGCACATTTACTGTCCTGGAAAGAGTTTGGCCTCTCTGGAGTTCGGTGCTCAGAAAACTCTACAGAAGGTACAGTGATGTGTACACCCAGAGATGGAATCAAATGACATATTGATGGGGTGCTTTCTTATCTTGATTTATGAATCAATCAATCAATTAATCAAATCATTATTAATAACTACAGTTGCATTGTGAATGAAGCTGTCAGTAGTTTGTAGCATAATGGTTCCCAGCGTGAATGTGTAACCTGAAGTTTGCCCGTCGAGTCCGGAAGTTGACAAACGAAAAGTTTCTAGGTTTGCAGTTGTACCACAGTTGGCCTTTGTAGTGCTGGTTCTGCAGCACTGTCATCTGTGTTTAGCAGGCTGTTTGCTCTCTGAGATGGTCTACACTGTGGAGGGGAGCGAGCAAAGTGCAGCTGTGGGCCAGACTCTCCTCCTGTTCCTCTTTCTCCAGCACAGCGACCCCTTCTGTTCACAGCTCTCTGATTTTGTTGGTGAGACAGCCACCTGCTACATAGGACTGGTGTCCCCACATCTGGACTGGGGGCCTGGTGTTTATAGACTGATTTTTCCACATGTGGACTGACGGCCCTGACTTTATGGACTGGGTTTTCTACATATGATCGAGAGCCTGATTTTTATGGATTGGTGTCCCCACACCTGCTCTCTTTAGTCTTTGCATGTGTATCAAACCATCCACTGTGTTGTAGTGACTTTTTCCAGGAAATTTATCAAGAGTAGTTGACATGATTACATAATCTGGAGTCGCTGTTTTCCCTCGATAAAGTTTTGATGTGTTTTGATGTTTTTAAAATCCCTACTAGTCAGTGAGGAGCTTCTAGTGCAAAATCTGGACCGGATTCTTCAGCACAACCAGGAGAGGGTGAAGGTGGCGCTACACTCTCTTCTCCAGTGCACACTGAGTGGTTCTTTAAAGAGACAAAAGGCAAGTCTGCCAGTGTCTTTGTCATCATGGTGTGTTCGCTGCTCACACATAGGTGGGCAAACCCACTGAAACACACAAGCAGGAAATGTTTGGAGATGGTCTGAACTTCAAAACCGAAGGCTTTGTTGTCCCAGGCTCAAGCAAAGATGCAGGCTGCCATCCCCGTCATCCTCAGCTCACTGTCCAGTGTGGTGAGCAGCAGTAGCAGCCTGGCTTTCAGGACCACCTGTCTCAACAGCATGAAGGTACATTTGTGGAGCAACCAATGAGCAAGTAGAGCGGTAAAGTTTGGGAGAGTCTTCGGGGCTGGTGAAAAGCTTTGGGAGAGTTTGAACAAACCATCACAGTCTCAGTTAAATTGCCATCACAGTCTCAGTCAAATTCCTCTTCATCCTATTATTTCATCATGTAACTTTATTAACAGATAATCAAAGTGTTTCAAGTCCTACCTCTGTTCAGGTAATTTCACTGTAGTCCCACTACATAACAATTATATAAATATGGGTAGATGGGCTAGAGTACACAGTTACAGTCAAAAGTCTGGACACATCTGCTATTAATGCATTTGTCTCTATCTTAAACTATGTTATTTACTTTATAGTATGAGACCCCAATGTAATGAAGTAATATATTTCAAATATTGCAACGACTGAGAGATGTGTTCAATATTTTTGAAAATTTTATACTCTTTAAAGCAGCCCCCTTGTCTTCAATGGCAGCATTCTAGACTCTTGGCATTCTTTCAGCCAGCTTCCAGATGTTGCCACCTGGGATGCTTTTCCAACAGTCCTGAAGGAGTTTCCACCAGTTCTGGGCACAAATTGGCTACTTTGCTTTTTCTCTTCGATCCTGCTCATCCCAATCCAGCTCTGTAGGGTTTAGGCCGGAGAATTGCGGGAGCCAGGTCATCTGTCACAACACTCCATTTCTTTCCTTATTCACAAAATACTGTAATACAGTACTTGCATAACCTTGAGGTTTGCTTGTGGAAAAGCAAATGATTTTCAGTAGGTGTCTCCAGACGTTTTACTGGTACTGTAGGCAGCCAGGCTAAGCAGATATAGTCTTAACAATGACTAGCATGATTTGCACCAAAATGGTACATAAAATTATTCACAGTTGTAATAATAATAGTAGATATGGAGGTTTAAATGGATTGGAGTACCGGTACTGTGGTTTTCATTACGTTTTTGTGTGATTGAGTGTATCTGTGTGCCTGTCTGTTGATACCGGTCTATAGGTGCAGGACACTCAGGAGCTGGGTATCACTCTTAAACAGGCTCTCCTGGAGGTCACACAGAACCGATTCATGCCCAGCCGCAAATGTAACAATAAGGTAAACCACTTTCATCAAAGAGAATTATGTGTAACATCCCTGCGTGGCATTTAATGTTCTACCTGTCGGAGCAAATCAATCAACAAAATCTTCAGGGACTTTCCAGTAAAATAAAATTTAAAAGCTATCAAAAAAAACAATTAAAGATTAATTATTCTACACTTTTTAAATATAAATGAATCATGTCTGATTGGGCACTGTAAATTATGTGTTTATACCAGTGTTTGCGGAGGGCATCAGGAGATGGTGATGTGGACGGTTCTGACCATAAACATGCACCACTGAGGCTGGAGGACAGTTCAAGGAGTTTGTCTGGTGCTCTTGACCACAAAGGTGAGCATTGGATATGAGGCAATAGAGGTTCACTGTTCTTTATACAGCACAAACTCTATACAAGTTTTGACATTCATACACTTAGTTAAAGTCACAATAGGAACGTATTACACTCAGAATCAAGTTTATTCACACGTTAACAACCAGAAACATGATGTGTATATGAATAAGAAAAATGAGAGAACTGGAGTAGGTGCAATTGGAAAACTACCCAGACAGACCAGTGCAGAAAAACCAGTACAGATGCATGGTGTTAACTGAATGACAAAAGACAATAAATATTGTGCCTAGAGACAGCAGTATGAAAAAAATAATACATTTAAAAACTATACAGTGGATGAATAAGAATGAGGGGGATGAAACGATGTATCAATTTTATAGGGAATATGACCTGACTGAATGTGAAAAGAATTAAATTGTTTTTAACGTGTTCCATTTTAATTTTCAACTTTGTCAAGAAATCCCTTTGTGACACTGATATCACACCTTCATAGATGGGGGTTTGAATCCAACTTCCACACTGTGTGTGTGAATTTCTCATGTTCTTCCACTGGGTGGATCTCAGATGGGTCTCCTCTGGCAGTCCAAAGACCAATGTGGCATCTCTGAATTGCCCAGAGTGTGCGTGTATATACCCTGTGATGTCGTGGCATCCCATCCAGGGTACATCCTAGCCTTGTGCCCTCTTCTGCCTGGAATAAACTCCAGGTTCTCCCAAATAAGCATTTGGAAGATGGATGGATTGTATCAGGAATTACTGCCTAGCCTTCCTGTACCAAATCATAGCACTGAAAAATAGAGAGCATAACTCACTCATGTCAGTAGCAACTGAATGGCATGAAGTGCAGGTTTCATGTAACTCTGCACTGATAAACATTTGAATTCACAAGTATAACAGTAGCAGAATAATAATAATGAACATGACACACTGCTAAAAGCGAGCTCCTTGTTGTTGCTGGGCTTCCATGCTGTCTTTTGGTTACTATGTTGTTGAGCAGAGTTAGGTGTGGAAGCCTCACACAGTCAGACTGGTGGTGAGTCCACTACTGTGAAGAAGCCACGAGTTGCTGGGGTCAGCACACACCCCTCAGCTCACAAGCAGACACACACGGGCCCCTGGATGCCAGCCCAGCATGACATACCTGGGCTCTCTCAGACTCAGCCCACTGCCGCGGCCCACACAGCGTGCAGCGACCCTGTGCCTCGTTCTCTGGGCAAAGACAACCAGCAGGTGCATTGCAGTCATCATGGATCACCCGCACTAACCCAGTCAACACTCTATCTGACCACCTAACCTGGTGATTGCATTGTATGAGACTAGGATGTTTAGATTAATATTTAAAAACAAACAGAGATCCAGCAGCTATTATTTATTGGACCCCTAATAATTATAACAATACATTAGGTGCATTATGTTTTAAAAGCCTTACTTCTGTTAAAATGGCAGTTCTGTCACTAAAACTGTACTTTTTAGCTATCCGTGGTGTTTTTAAGCCCTAAAATAAAGCCATGCATGTACTTTGAGTTTCCCTCATTCTGTTTCATTACCACAGGAGGACCAGGTCTGGTTGCACATGTTTGACTGGGACTGCTAGCATGCTGCGTTCTGGGAGACTCCTCCGAGACTATATTAGCATGCTGCAAGGGACTTGGTCATTTACCAAGGGTCCTCTCCATAACCTGTGTCTGCAGTCTTCAGTTCACTATCAGTGTTAACAACAGGATTTAATTATTTTTGTTAATCAGAACTATTACAAGGTATGTATTAGTTTATTAAACTTTGAAATATCTTTAAGAACCGGCTGTACACTGATTGTGCATTCTTCCTCTGCATATAAATTAAAGTGCCACCCATTTGGGGGCGTTTCTATTAGCACGAGGGCGTTTTTGATTGGTTGTCAGGCTACTGCCGTAAAGCGATGGCGGGATTTTCTTTTCTAGCGACAGCAGGGACAAGGGAATTGTGATTGTATCATTTTTTTTATTTTTATTTTATAGAGTGTTAACTAAGATACATAGTTGCACATTGTTTGTGTGTGTGGTAAACATCCTCGTTTTGGTGTTTTCCAATTAAACACATTGCTTGACGATTGCTCTAAATTTGGAATTTACTTAGCTAGCAGCTCGTGTACCGAAGATCGGACAGTCGGTGAATATTACTAATAAAAACTACCAGCAAGTGTTTCTGGATTCTCAAAAGAACCTGATTACTTTGATAGTTCGCTAGTTATTTCGGTGTAAAGCGATGGAAGCGGTCAGTGTGGAGAGTCTCAAGGAGGAGTTCGACCTTTTCGGTATTGCAATTTCGGATGAAGCAGTACTGGAGCGAAGTAAGTGCTAGTTCCGTATCTTAAATGTCACGTAAATGTATCTCTAAGTAGAGACTCTATCTTAGTAAGTCTCTAAGTTCTCCAAATCGGCAGCATTATCTTGTCACTGTGCAAACATTTGGAGTAAATCCCATTGTATATTTTGAAAAAAATAGATAACTTTATGGTTTGCATCAACACGTAAATAACATGGCTGAAAATATTTCTCACCCATTTCGGCAATGGGTGAGAAAAAAAAGGGGAAATGTCCATACACATATTAAGTCTTTTTCACTGATATTTAAGTTTTTCATATGGGCTATTTTTAAGAATAACGTCATGACTTATGTACTCAGTCTTGCATTAAGATCCGATATAGTTTCATCTAGTATAAACAAATGGCACCTCGTTTAAGAAATACTTCAAACGACCGTAACACTATTATTCTCATCTGCTGTCCATTCATTCATCCATGTCTCATCCTCAGTGCAAGAGCAGTGTCGCTGCCATGGACTGCAGATCAACGAGGTCGCCGAGGAGTGGATAGCGTACAGCACCACTAGGGGAAGAGTGAATCTCACCCTGGATGCGCTGGAGCAGTTTGAGCACGAGGTGAAGACCCCGCTGTGGTTAGGGTATAGGCAAAACCAGTGGGAGAGTATACATCGCGGTATGCGCTTGACAGAAGCTGAGATTGTAATTCAGCGTTTTGGGAATGTTTTATGAATCAGTATTATGTTATAAAAAAAACCATGTTAAAAAGATTTGGTGTGTTTTTGTTTTGCTTTGCAGGCACTCAGAAAGAGAACAAAAAGGCAGAGCACGTCTAAGAAGGCAGATCCTCAGAACATAATCCGAGATATAAACTCACTTCATGATCTGTATCCTCTTTGGTTACTGTACTCCCCTTTGGAGTGTTTTCTTAGTTTATTTTGATACTCTCCTCTAACAGAATAGGACGTAGCAGTGGGTACAGTTTGGAATGACATCATTAAATGGCCGATCACGGCATACTGCCACCCAAACCTGTTTTAGGTCATTAGTGCCTGAGTCGAAAGTGGATGAATGGAGGTACAGGGCTTCCTTAACTCATCATCATTAGGATCAAAGCTGAAGAAGAGGAAGAGAGTCTACTGGACTCGTACTCCACCCCAGCCAAGGTGAGGTCCTCTGCTGATTGCAGGCCCAAAAGTGGATTTTTTAGGAAAGTTTATTTGTGCGGTTGCTACAGGCATGAGTCTCATTTTTAGTACCATGCACTAACAGTTAAATACATGCATCTTCCGTAATTGGTACACTAGTCCATCTTCTGGCACGCACACCAGAGGGAATATGCAACTTTTCAGCTGGTGAATGAAACGAGGCAGGATTCAAACCTCAAATCTTGGATAGGTTTTGCTCACTGTATGATTCATAACCTTCCACTGTAGGATTTCGCTTAGATGCAAACCTTTTTATCAAATTAATTGTTGTGGAAGTAGTAAATGTGCCTTGTTCTCTTGAGAATTAGGCTAAAAAATCTGAATCCCTATCATTCGACCAAGTGCCGCATTGTACAGTACTAGAAAATAATGTACAATGCACTTTACTGTATGTAATGTTGACAATGTCTTACTATTCATAATTTATCAATTAAACTTTACAATATGTATGTACATGAAAATCAGGCTATATATGGGGTCCGCGGATAGTTTGCTGTTATCCCTGGTTTAGGTTGTCCGTTGTCTTGGGACGTATCACCCATGTATATGGGGGACTACTGTATATTTATAAAGTTGCATTAACTTAAATCTCATTTTTAAATGTGTTTTGGGAAAAAAAAATATTAATCATGATTTAGCAGGACTACAAAACAAAACCAACATGAAACCAATAACCAATACTCGCTCACCATTAACTGCAAACTGTGTAGCCTAGTCAGAATTTTCAGACCACAGTAATTCTGGAACTCTGATTTTCCTTCATACCCTTTATAATTTATTGTCAGTATGGATGTGAAATAGGTGTTGAATTGCAATCATGATGGTCTTAAGGTCTTAAAAAGTCTTAACTTTAAGTTGTTGAAATCTGCAAAGTCTGGCTGAGCAGCGAATGGCTGAGTAATAATTTGAGTAACAATATTGGTGTATGGTCAGTAGGTGTCACTGTTGCTTTAGATTAGTTTTTTTCTGACACCATTGTTTAATCTCCTTTCGTAATGTTAATGTGCTAATGCCTTCTTGAACTCAAAATTCAGTGTCAAAAACAGGTTTTACATTGAAGCAGCAAACAGATATGTTGGTGTAATGTTGTGTGTATATATACCATCAGTTTTTAGCCTTCTGCTTCAGCTGTTCACTTCCAGACAGGCTTTCCACTGTGCCTCTCTCACTAGTGTTCCCAGGTGCCTTAGGAATGTACCCATCCAGAACGCTCCTGCCAACTCAGGCCCCCTCAGCTTCTGTAAACACTCCGAGCTGCACATCACTCAGCCAGCACCAGGCTGCTCGGCATAACTGTAGGGGGATGATTAAATAACCCAGCTCAATTGTGCTTGACGTCCACTTAGTCATGCTGTCAATTTTGTACTTGTAATTTGAACAGACTTTGAGGATTTCCATTAACACGCAGCACTGATGCTGTAATGTAATGGAGAGACGTAGCATCTGATGACATGCATGTGTCGATTTGCGTGTTTTGCAGGGGTCTCAGAAACGCGCCCTGACGACTCCAGAGCATCCTCGTTCTAAGAGGAGTGCAGCACTAATGACCAGCCCCCGAATGCTCCTCTCACCCGCCAGTTTCTCTCCCAGGTACCTGCCCCCCCCTCCACCTTCCGATATTCTCTCTTCCATGTGCATCTGCTGGCACCCTCTGTTCTACAGTTGGTCTCTCTCTACCCCCCTCCCTCCCCCCACGTAGTGTGACCCCCTCTCAGAAGTACAGCTCCCGTGCGGCTCGCGGAGAGGTGGTGTCCACATTCGGTGTGGTTCAGGGCACCCGCTGGACTGGGCAGAAGAGGAAGGAGCCGCTCCGGGTGGAGCTGCTGGAGGGACAGGAGAACTCGCTAAGGAGCAGCTACAAGTTCATGTTCCAGAACCTTCGAGACATCCGTACCGGTCAGTCGCTGTTTTACATTGAGCCTCGTCTGTCTATAGAAGCCGGCAAAGCTTTCAAGCAGAAAATCTGACCTGATGCAAAGTCTGATCCTCTGCATGAAGAAGATCCTTTAACATCTTATTCGTCCCGTGGACATTTTCATCGGGGTGCAAGTTCCTTTCTTGTCATACATGCCATTTGTTCCTGAATGGAATCTGTGGCCCTGGAGATCAATGCTGTCTGTTACATGTTTGAGGTTTATGGTGCTTTGACTCCGTCTTCTCTGGCAGGTGTTTTCAGAGAGTTTGGAATTTAACACTTGCATGTACACATATTTCCCCTCAGTCCTGAGTGACAAGGTTGAGGAACTAGGAGAAGAACTGAAGTCCCACTTCAGTATTGAGGAGTTCTCCTCTGTCTCAGTACCTACACAGGTATTCTCCTGTCCCTCCTCTTTTGCTGTATTCCAAAGTGATAGATCTTGTGTCACTTCCTCTTGGTTCTGTTTAGTTTGTAAATGGTCATCCATCCCCCCCTACACACATATACTCCAAGTAAGCCTCAGCTACACCAAAATGATCACTAAAATGATCACTCCAGTTTTTGAAAAGTGGTCCATCAGATTCCTGATTTCTCTTTTTGTGTGTGTTTAATGGAGGAGTGTTTAGCTAAGGTTGTCCCTTTTGGCTGTCTGCAGGACACACTGACCATCCTGGGGCGGGTGTGCTGTGACAGCAACGGGAAGCTCAACGCCCAGTCCGTGCAGCTGGAGCCAGGGCGGGAGAGGGGAGGGCGGCCGGTGCCTGTGGACCTGTCCGAGCTCAAGGAGTACTCGCTGTTCCCAGGGCAGGTGAGGAGCCTCGGGGAATGATGGTCTGTTAACTGGTCCACAGCCCTCTCAGTCATGGCAGAGGATAAGGTACTAAACTGTTAAAAGATGTAGAGGGAACAGCTTGCAGAAGGAATTGTACTGATCTTTGGGAAATACTGACATGCAAGCTAATCAAATGCTAAGGTCTGTTCACTTCCTGCTAATGTGCTGGCACATGTCATACATGCGTATTTGTAATAAATGATACTTTTAGGTCTTCGTGTAATCAGTGTATGTGGAGACCCTTATTAATTAGAGGAGTTGACTAATTAAGCCTCATCCTTTGCAACAGGTATAATTAAGTATGCAGTTGCACAATTTCCTGCCAAAAGCATTAATAGTAGAATAGGCACTCCTCAGCAGCCATACCACCTGCAGTTCAGACTCGGTAATCCACCTGAAGCTAAGAAGGTTTGGGCCTGGCCAGTACTTGGATGGGAGACCAACTAGGAAAGCTGGGTTGCTGCTGGAGGAGGTGTTGGTGTGGCCAATAGGTTAGCCCATCCAGTGGTCTGTGTGGATCCCAATGCCCTAGTGCAGTGGCAGGGACACTGTGGTCAACAGGGAATCCTGTCCGGTGGTCTGTGTGGATCCTAACGGGGACACTATGCTGTAAAAGTGGTGCCACCCTTTGGATGAGACATAAAACTGGGGGTCCTGACTCACTGAGGTCATACATCTTTTGAAAAGGGTAGGGTTGGTACCCCGATGTGCAGGCTAAAATTGCCCATTGTGCCCCTGTCAAATCTGGCCTCCTGATCATCACCTATATATAACTGGGGAATTCTCTCCTGTCCCTTCACCACCTTGGCTACTCTGGGGTGAGCACACTGGTGCAGAATGGCTGCCATTGCATCATCCAGGTGGGGGCTACTCTGTGGTGGTGGTCGAAGTGGCTCCCCACTTTGGGTGTCTTGAAAAATGTTTCATAAATGTAACTCATTAATTCATTCACTATTAGATGACTTAATCTTTCCAAAAAGTCACTTTACCACAGTTCTGCCCTGCTAAAGTTGCCCTGGTCAAACATAAATTAAGTGTTTGTGAAGGTCAAAATGTCTGGGAGTAAACAATATGTATGTACATGAAGTGGTAGGCCACACACTCGCAGAAAGGCACCTGATTACCCAAAATCAAATCCCACCAGCAAAGGTACAACATCTCATGGGAAGCCTTCCCAGAAGAGTAGAGGCTGTTATAGCAGCAAAGCACGAGTCAACTTCTATTAATACCCATGGTTTGAAAAGAGATGATCGTCAAATTGGTGTCCATATACTTTTGGCCATATGGTGTATTTCTTCAGTCGTCTTCATTGTCATTAAAATATTTATTATATATGTATTATAGCTGTAGTCCCTAAAGCAGGGGTCTCAAACTCCAGTCCTGGGGGGCCGGAGCCCTGTGTAACTTACCTCTTTCCCTGTTCCACCACAAATGATTCAGCTCAAGAGCTGTGTGATAATTAACACAAGGAGTTGAATCAGGTGTGTTAAATGAGGGTGAACCAAAAACTGTGTAGGGCTCCGGCCCTCCAGGACTGGAGTTTGAGACCCCTGCCCTAAAGCGTGTAAGAGGTTTGATGACCTGTGCTTTATTTCTTTGGTTTAGAAGAGTCACAGTCAGAGTCAGAACTCGCTTTATTGCCAGTATATGTGAACGTACTAGAATTGTTTGTGGTGTGGTGCCAAACATGAAGTATAGGACGGGACGGTCCTCATCACATGTAGGCTGCATCGCTCAGGGGCTGCTCGATGGTGACTGAGGTCTTCTTTCTTCAGATGCTCATCATGGATGCGATGAACACTGCAGGAAACCGACTGGTTCCCACCAGACTGTACGAGGCAAGTTCCGTTCCTCCAATCCCCGGTAGTAATGCAGGGCCCTCATTGTGATTGCGTTTGTGTATGACTTTGGTTTTGTCTTGGCTTGGTCTGCAGGGGGTGCCCCTGCCCTTCTATTCTGTGGATGAAGAGAAGCAGGACATGTCAGAAGGTGAGGAAGCAAAGAGTTTGCTTTTCCCCATATTTTGTGTTATGTATTGTGCCATGGTTCTCTGACTCTGCATTTGAGTATTAGTGTCTAGTTTTAGTGAGTGCAAGTTCTCCTTGTGTCGTGGTGGTTTCCTTTTGCAGTCCAGAGGCATGCAGTTAGACTAATTGGTATTCATTTCCCAATGTATGTGCTTGTGCCCTGTGGTGGACTGGCATTCTGTTCAGGGTAGATCTCAGCCTTGTGCCCTGTGGCGCACTGGCATTATGTTAAGGGTAGACCCCAGCCTAGTGCCCTGTGGTGGACTGGCATTCTGTTCAGGGTAGACCTCAGCCTTGTGCCCTGTGGTGGACTGGCATTCTGTTCAGGGTAGACCCCAGCCTTGTGCCCTGCACTGTTTGGGGTTGGCTCAAGGTGCCCTGAGACCCTGACCAGGATAAGCAGTTGGAAGATAGATGGATTTTAACTGTGGTATAGGAATGAAATTAGTATTTCAATAATTTTTTTCACTTTTTGGAAGGCGCAGCATATTAAAGTACAGTGGAGTTTTTAGTGTACGGTTTTCTGTACCTGTTGTGTGCCTCATCAGATGTTTTGGACCAAAATACAGCTGAATACATACAAGGTTCACTTAGTGGGCACTTTATTAGGTATACCTACCTAGTGCTGGGTTGGACCCCCTTTTACCTACACAGCAATCTGACTATTTCAAGGCATGGATTCAAAAAGGTTCTGGAAACTTCTCTTCTGGATATTTGTCCATGATGTGTTTCCACTTGTAGCTGTCCTCTTGGCTGTAAGGAGTCTAGCTATTCCCTTCTGAGCGCTCTCCTTAACAACAGCTTATTATGGGATGGTAACTGAACCTGTTTCAACATGCATGCTTTATGTGCTCAGTTGAAGCTGCTTTTCAGAGGACCTAGCTGTTAGCTTAAATCAGCAGGTTTACCTAGTAAAGTGGTTGTATGTTATTTGTTATGGATTTAGCATTGTTATCTTGTGTAAGTGCTTATTTATTCTTACCATGGTTATTGACTTTGGAAATACAGGATGCATTTTTTTGGACGATGTAGGACTGTGGATCTTGGACTGGAGCTACAAACCCTCTGGTCCTACAGGCTGGTTTGGCATAACTCCTGTTGCTAGGTGAACTAACTGGTTGTCTTTGCTCACTTCAGAGTGTGACCCCTTGATGGTCATGGTCGCTTGCGGACCATACACACCCTCTGACAGCCTGAGCTACGACCCCCTGATTGACCTCATCAGCATCATTGTCCGGGACCAGCCGGACATGTGCATCCTGGTGAGCATTCTGCGGGTGCCAGACTGCTCCAAATGTGTGCACCCCTTCTGTACGTCTTAGCATTTCTACCTGGATTCTTCTCACCTCTTCCCTGCTCTTGCTCTCCTGCAGTTCGGCCCCTTTGTGGACTCTAAACATGAGCAGATCGAGGTAAGAGCCATTCCAGATGTGAGAAGACGTTGTCTGACTCTAATAGGAGTTTAGTGGCTGTTTCGTTATAGACATGTGGCTTGTACTTTAAGGCTGAATTGTGATTTTCTGCTAGGTGTTGGTATCTGGTGTTATTTAAGTTTCCACATAATCAGAAACATCCAAAACAGAAAATCCGTTGAACTGTAGGCCTATGATCTACCCTGTGCCTTCCTGTCACTTCCTGTGCTTCTTGTATGAATCTGGTACACAGTTACTCAGTCTCCTGCAACAAACATTAGCAGCAGAATGGATCATCATACAGATCAGCGTAGTGGCTTTCCTCTTTGCACCATCATAAAAATATCTTTTCAATATGGTAGTTTGACCACATTGCCACCCTGGTCAACAGTGAGTGAAGGGATTATCTAGGTCAAAACCTATAGGAACAGATTCAGTTACTAAGTGGTAGGCCACACAAGCTCAACGGAAGGGACCTGATTGCCCAGCATCAATACTGAATTATTATTGAATGATACTTTATTTTCCATTTGCATAAGTGGGTATACAACATTTGTGATGGAGGGACCCTGGAATGCTATCAGTATTCCAACATCTGATGGAAAGTGTATCCCAGAAGAACAGAGGCTATTAAGGCAACAATGGGCTGGCCAATTTCATATTAAAATACCCTTGGTTTCTAAATGAGGTGTTGGACAAGCTGGGGTCCACATACCTTTGGCCATATAGTGCAATTTGCACTTTCTCCTCTCTTTTTGGGCAAGTTTACATTTGAATATTTTCCTTGCGGATTGACCTGCAGCCCATCCAGGGTGTTCAGGCTCAGTACTCGATGAGCAGTTATTGAATATGGATGGGTGGCATATTTTCAGCACCTGAATCTTAAAAATGGCAGATTTGCTTCCTTCACCTTATCCTGGTGCCCATGGGTTTAATATTCAAATAGATACAATGAGATCAGAATAAGCCTATGCTTCTCAACCTGGTTTTCAGGGACTCCCAGACTGTCGACATTTTTGGAAAATGTGCAGGGAGCTAGGAGGGAGCAAAAACATGGACTGTCTGGCAGGGAGCTGGGAGGGAGCAAAAACATGGACAGTCTGGCAGGAAGCTGGGAGGGAGCAAAAACATGGACTGTCTGGGAGGGAGCAAAAACGTGGACTGTCTGACAGGGAGCTGGGAGGGAGCAAAAACGTGGACTGTCTGACAGGGAGCTGGGAGGGAGCAAAAACGTGGACTGTCTGGCAGGGAGCTGGGAGGGAGCGAAAACGTGGACTGTGTGGCAGGGAGCTGGGAGGGAGCAAATACCATGGACTGTGTGGCAGGGAGCTGGGAGGGAGCAAAAACATGGACTGTCTGGCAGGGAGCTGGGAAGGAGCAAAAATGTTGACGGTCTGGGGGTCACCGAGGACCGGTTTGAGAAACGCTGGAATAAGCAACCCTATTGTTGCAAACATAGCAACAGTCATTTTTAAAGATTGTTGCCATCTGATCATTTACAGCAGGTGTCGCATAGGAAGCCTCACGTTCATGTTTCTGCATCTGGGTGAGGAATCCTCCCCTCTCTGCCCCACATGTCAGTGCTCTTTGTCAATTAGGCATGTGTTCATGTATCTTTTAATGCTGTTATCCTGATCAGTACTTCACAGGATGTTTTTATTAAGGTTAAAACCAGAGGCACTTCCAGAGATTTTTAACTAAAGCCACCGTAAAGCACCTTGTTTAGAATTTTACAATTTGTTGGGAATCTTACTGTTTATGTATTTTGAGGTTTTCCCATATCGGCTTTTGTTTTTTTGTTTGTTTTTAAATGATTACAATCTCTGCTTCCCCATGAATATAGCCCCAGCCACATACATGGCGTGAAAACGAAATAGATCTGAATAAACAAAAGTTATTGCACTGCAATAAAACATAATAAAAAGTATTTTCAAATGAAAGGCCTAGACCTGAACCATAACTGTTCTATAATGTTTTAAGGGAATAATAGTAGCATTTTTTTCTCTTACAGAAATTCCAACTGACAGAGACATTTGAAGATTTATTCTCCAGATGTGTGAAGAGTATACTAGAGGGGACTAGAGGGTAGGTTTATGCTTAAGTTCATAGTTAAATTGAGTCTTTAAGCAGCATCAAGTGCACTACTGCAATTCAATTTTTTTTTCCTCCATCTGCTTTGGTTTTGCTTGTAATCCTTTTTCATTCCTCTTTTCTCCCTTCCCTCTCCCTCCGTGGCCCCGCAGTTTGAGGTGCCATTTTGTGTTCGTGCCGTCCCAGAGAGACGTCCATCACCTGTTTGTTTACCCCCAGCCGCCTTTCACCTTGCCTGGTCTCAGCAAGGAGGACATGGAGGTGAGCCGCAGCAGCTCCTGGGCGACAAAGACCTTTCTAGTGCCATCTTTGTGTGTGTCTGCTCTAATTGTACAGTATGGCATGAGAAGGTCAGCACAGCAATGCGAGCAGTTAAGGAGTAATGTTGACGGGATCGGTGGTATCCAATTGGACAGCCGCGCAGATGATGGATGCTTTCTGAGACATCTGGATTATGGCTTATTAACACTGATGTTTCAGCTGTGTATGTTTATCGGAGGTGAGGAGAGTGAGCTCATCCATTGCATGGTGCGTGTTTGTGTTTGGCCTTTTAGCGCGTCTCCCTGGTGTCTGACCCCTGCACGGTGCTCATCGAGGGTGTGACCTTCGGCCTCACATCCACGGACATTCTCTTCCACATGGGGGCCGAGGAGATCAGCAGGTATGAGGCCTGGGGGGGGGGGAATTTGGGCCACAACAGCCCTGTGTTTTAATTGGCTTCCCAGGAGAGTAAAAACCCAAATACTCACCCCACGACCTGTGCTTTTCAGCGTGTCCGGCTCCGACCGCTTCACACGCATCCTAAAGCACATGCTGACCCAAAGAAGGTGAGCAGGACATTTGTGGAGGGACCACGGCCTCATCTCTCAGGATGAGCAGTTCATGGCCTTGTTTCTCGTTACTTCCTGAGTCAATTATGTCATCTTCTGCACTCTTTCTCCAGCTATTACCCCTTGTACCCTCCGGCAGAGGAGGTCAACCTGGACTATGAGAAGTTCCAGTATTACAGCCAGTTTCCCCTCACGCCTGATGTGTTGGTTGTACCCTCTGAGTTGCGCTACTTTGTCAAGGTATGACTCTCAAACTTGCTCGAATGATACTTTCCCAAAACATATTAGCTGTAGTACATGCTGCATTTAGGCTTAGTTTTCATTTTTTTGATGCCAAATTTAAACGAATCCTCCTCTTAAAGCACAAAATAGCATTACAAAGTTGCTGCGAGTTAACCATTCCTCCTGTCTGTTCTTTAGGATGTGATTGGCTGTGTGTGTATCAATCCCGGCCGGCTGACTAAGGGACAGGTGGGCGGGACTTATGGAAGGCTGCTTATAAAACGCTGTCCTCCGATCGCTGATGGGAAGAGGCAGAGTCCATGTTTGGCCTGTCAGGTGGTGAAGATCTGATCTGCATCCTCTCATTAACCAAAACGATCTTCCTTGAAAAAGACTCTGTGTGCTTATGTTGATATTGCTATCTGTGGTCCATGTGAAGCATGTGTTAGTGTAATTTCTGCAGCCTCGGTCACTGGCTGCAAGCTCACTGCACTTCCAGCAGTGCTGGTAAACAATATTGGTAAATGTACTTGAAGCCCATCGGCACACCAGATACAATGACTTAAATTTAGTTCTATAATGGCACGATATTGTAAAAAGATATCCATGTATTGTATTTAAAAAAACTAATAACACACATGCTGTTTCTGGCGGGGAATGGAAATGTTTGTCTTGTAATTCTCTGGCTTACTCAATAAATTATTTTCCTCCTTTTGCATATTTTTTACACAAGTGATTTCCCTACTTTTATTTTACATTTGTTTGGTGCCTTTTGAAAATTAAGTCCATGATGAAATTTGCAGCTAATGAACAAGTAACCTCTTCCAAACGCAATTTTTTTATGATAAGCAAGTCATACCAGAGTCAACACAGAATAAGTATATATACCAAAACTTAACTGTATATCAGTTTCTTTTTCTTCTATGATTACAGTACTCGTGCCCTGAAAAAAACTCAGATCTTGTTGACGAACAGATTTAACCAAAAAATTCGAATATCACTACATTCATAGCGATCGCTCATAGTTCGCTCAGTATTACAGTGGTGAAACATGGAGGTTAGTAGTTTCTGAGATTTCACTGAAATCGACTAATAACTGATAACAACAATGTCCAGTCATAGTGAAGACTCCAGTCTGATATGCATTACTGATCTTCGATTAACGCTGAACTGATTTCATTCCTTAGCTGTGAAGAAACTCCGCATTTGGGACATTTCTAATGTATTAAATCTGGCGTGTTGGAGCAGGGGGATTGGGAGGAGATCTATCAGAAGTGTTGTCCTGTGAAGTGAGGTCAGGTCCCTGGGAGTGGATGCTGCCTATTCTGCAGGCTGCTCCAACATTTGGCCGTCATCTATTAGCCAATCGCCAATAAATAAGAAAAATCATTTTATACTCCTTAACCATTCACAAAAGTTAGAGTTGTCCTTTTAGAATGTTCCTGTTCGCTTTCGGTTCTGTTTTTAATAAGTTCGCCCAGTTGTTTTGTTGGACGCTGAATTTATTTCCCTTTTAGTGACAAAGAAAGGCGGGTGGGAAATTAAAACGATTAGGTCACACTTGGCTGTCTATAGTTTCTCTTGTCCGGAGGGTTTATTCAGACGCAACTAAAAAAGGCTGAACTGTGCATTGGTATATCTTTTGCCACATTCATTCCATAATTTGTGAAGTATTAACAAGCGCATGTTGGACACCAAAAAAAACAATTACATTTACTATTCACGTAGCGAATTGTTTGCATTAATAAAAGCGGTCCCAGCCCGCACTGCCATCGGTGCAATCGTGGCAGTTTAGACAAAGCTATTGATCTTAGTTCTCTATGCCTAAAGCTCATTAACAATAGACTGTTACTAAGCGACCGTTTAAACGCGCTTGGAGGGAAGACTGGGCGGGGGGACTAGACGCTCCTCGAACTGTCGCATTCATCGGGTTCCCAGACAGGATAGTAGTCGGGAACAAACAGCATGCAGGAGTGCACTATGGACAGAAGTAAAATGAAAGGTGAGTGTTGTCCTAATGTTATATTTATATGAACTGCAAAGTCCGAGTTGTTTTCGAACAGCAGCAAACTTTCTTTTTGCAAGTTTCCATGACTAATACATCACGGTTAACATTAAACAGTAAACATTAAAATACGGACGTTTAAAATGTTAACTCGAAATAAACGCAGAACATTGATATTCTGAATAGGCTGGAAACTCGTAGAATATTTTATGAGAACAAAAGTTTTAGCCAGTATGCCTAACATAAATTGTCTTTATTCGTTTATTTTGCATTTGTTCTATATTACGATCGCCAGGGGTCAACACCATTGCGAATTTTAACGGGCATTGTGATTATAATGCAATTCATACCACGGACATAGTATTTAAAAACGTAGTCTACGTAGTTTTTCTCAAATCAAACTTTTTGGCCACGGACAGACGAGTCTTCCCATAGACACGGTTGCCATGTACGGACAGGTTGACGAACCCTAAGGATCGCCCGACGTGCTTTTATTTACTCGCCTGAGAGAAAAATCCTGTAGCCTGTTCTACCGAAATATAGAGGCGACTCGCGCTCCTCGCCTTTCCCTGCCCGCGTGCGTCATCGTTGTGACTGATGCAGCAGCAGGCAGATACTGCGCCCTGTCCAGCGCAGAAGTTAGAGCGTGAACGAGCACTGTGGCCGAAACGTCCAGGGAAAGTTCCAGGGAAAGGCTCCGGGGAGGAGATTGTAATTAAGCCGCCTTTACTGTAGCCTGGACTGCTTTACTGATTCTGTTACGCAATACGTTCTAAAATTATGTTAACTCGGTTCATATTGTAAGCCGCATTCATTTTGAAACTTCTAAACGTTTTAAAGAAAGCTCGGCCAAAAGTACACCTGTTGTATTTTTTTTCAATAGTTTGGCAAAGTCAGATGTTGGCTTTTTGTGGCTATAATGTATCAAAACACTGTGAACACCAGTATGGAATACATTGTCCCCTAACAATACTGTACCATTTGCATGTACGTCGGTGGAGAAACTCGTTATGCCCCAGTATTGCTGGTCAACTCATTAATCGACACGGGCGCCAATTAATGAGTTTGCTCAGAATCCGAATTTTGAAATACATGATGTTACTCACTGCTGTGAGCCAATAAGGTAACATTCTTCCTTATTTCTCAATTACTATAATTACTTAACACTCCAATATTTTTTTGCTGGATAATTTCTATAACCTTTATTGTGATTCCTGTAAGTAGGATTAAGCATATTCTCTTCCTTGTCACGTGAATCTTTTTAAGTTTTTGTTTTAAAACGTATAATCTCACACACCACTCACTCACACATGCACTCTACTTACCATAAATATATTTTACGATGCCCTTAATCCTTTTGATGACTTCAGTGAAAAAGCTATTTAAGTATTCTATATGTCCATCCATCCATCGATCCATCCATCTTCTGTAGCGTCTTATCCTATCCAGGGTTGCTGGGGGTCCGTAGCCTATCTCGGAGGCTATGGGGCACAAGGCAGGGAACAACCCATGGCAAGGCACACTCACACATGCACACCTACGGGCAGTTTGGCGACTCCAATCAACCTGAGTATGTTTTTGGATCGGGGGGGGAGCTGGAAGCTGGAGTACCCTAGATTTTATATGTCATTGATCTAAATGATATATGAAAAACCAATCCATCTTCCAACCGCTTATCCTGAACAGGGTTAGAGAGAAGCTGGAGCCTTTCTTAAGAAGCACCGAGACAGAGACAGACTAGCACTCCATCGCAGGTCACTCACGCATATCAGCTGTGTACAATTTAGAAACTCCAGCTGACCTATCTTTTTTTTTTTTGGAATGTGGTAGGAAGCTCATGATAAGGGACACACAAGATAAGACGTGACAGGAACACACAAACTCCACGCACACAGACTGTGGGTGGGATTCAAACCCCCAGTCTGGCAGTCGCCTTCAAGATAAAACTGAGAACCAGAAATTGTGCTGTACGTTAAATTAATGCAAAGATTCACAAAAGCATATGAATACAAACGCTAACTTCACCATGGAAACAATAGTAACTAATTTTACAAGACAAAGCTGGGAGTTCAGTTCTGTTTGCTTGTCATTTCTGTCCATGGATTGAAAGTTGTGCCCCAGGCTTGTACTCAAGACATTGTTGAAACCTCAGATGAGAAATGGCAGAGCTGCCCAGTAAATCTGGTATTTCTTTTTACATAGCACTGACCTGAGTAATAAACACAGTAGGCGTGAGACGAGACCGTGAACTTTAATAGGTTTCATACCACAGTATTTCGGTAAACATTTCATATGAATAAGCTGGGTGTTTCCAGAAGGGATCTGGCCAATTACCACACAATGGAGTTACACTACTGCCAGAATAAACAGAATTTTACATTAAGTAATTTTAATTAGTCATGTGGTTTGTTTTGAAACTCAGGAACCTTATTTCAAATTCTGACTTTATGTTCTGTTTAAAAGATAAATGTAACTTTTTTACTACAAGCAGACTGGTTTTTAAAATATGAAATGCAAATTAATTGCCCTACTCTAATTAACTGAACTCTTTAGACACTTAGAGATTGTATTTTTAAAATTAGGATCAAAGTATAGATATTTCGGGGGATACAGCGAATGGAGATCATTAATAAATAGGTTTTGCTAAAACTTTTCACTCTCTTATGGGAGACAAAACTTAGCAATCAATGCTATTTTAATGATTGTTCTTTTTCAAGATTATCTAGTATGCCTATGCCATATGCTCTAAAATCAGTGTAAAATCATAATCACAAAAAGTCATAATCATTTTCTTTTTGGAATCACTTATAGTGTGGCACATCTGTGAGAAATTTTACATAAATTAGTGAGAAGAAAAGCAAACAAAAACTGATCACCAAATCTTTTGCTTTATGGAAATATTCTATATTCCATACAAACTGCTTAGCCATAGTTTATTTTGGGTAAATTTTGAACTTCTTTTTTTGCTCTAAAAATATTACAATATTTGAAATTTTTCAAATATCTTGCAGGCATTCTTCAGTAGAATCTGGAAATTTGAGTTATTTTACCTGAACTGAAAATAAGTATATGTTCAAAGAGTTTAATGAGCTAAGGTTGTAACATTCTGCTTTCTAAACCTGAGCTACTCGCATTTAAATTGTTATATTCTTCAGGTTGGATATAAAGTCTAAATCTAAATAAAGTCTAAATTTTAAATGATCCCCAATACCCTTACAGCACATTTTTCTCAATCACAATGTAACTGTTACCATCCTGTAAATAACGTAGGCTTTCCCTTATGTGCATGTTGAGTGAGAATACTGTACTTGTTTTAATACTTTCATCTTTTTTTTTAGTCTTTAATTATATGCCAGATGTGTGCTCTTTGTACATCTGTATTCATGTATGTCATAGCATGATTATTACATTTCATTTCCATGAGTCAGCGCGCACATTGCAGCTGGGATTCTGAGGGTCATTTTCAGGCTTTTTAGTTAAGCGCTGTATCCATAGCAAACTTGGAATTCAGGTATTAAAGCAGTCAACATTACTCTGGAAAAGTTTTGGCTTCAATCAGGGACACAGAAAACCTTTCCCCCAAGGTTACCTCATACCAGCCCCTAATCCAGCCTTCTCCAGCTAACATGGGGTATATATTTCTACACATGGTTCTCAATTGACAGAACTGTTTATGTAGTTTGGGAAACTTTAGCAACAATCTGCCTGTGCTGGCATGAAAGTTATGAGCTAAATATAGATCTTGCGGGGGTGTAATCGTAAAGATAACGGATGTTGCACAACGAAGAGGATTGTTTTTATTACACGTCTGTCACCATCATGTTGTTCTTGTAGGACACAAATAATTGGGTCATTCACATTTTTGGACATTAGTTATCCCTGTGGATAGTTCATGCATGTCAAGAAGGCCAGTTGTGTTGCCCCGTTAACCCGAGGTCAGTGCTGAATCCAACTTCATCATTTTACCAATAAAGTCAGAGTTTAAAGTGCATAGTTATGTTGTTGGGTCTGTTTTGGGTCTTTGGTTGGATTACCAGTAACCATTCAGCATTTCAGAAGGATCACCAATCATTGTTTTTGCTGAGTAGACATGTAATGGGCACACCTTGTTCTTCAGTCATTCAGTGTGTAGGTATACTGTGCAATCTGTACCTGTATTGTGAATGCAGATCTTCATCAGTGTGTCTTATCATAGTGAAACTGACCAGCTGCATGCTTTAGTATCAAACATTATTAAATGTGACACTTCACTGATATACTGATAGGGATTGGCTATGTACTAACTGTTACCATATAATGCTCTAAACAAGTAAATTGTTCATGGTTATTAATAGATCATATACTGAAAATAGCTTTTTACATCTAAATTTATTATTGTAAAATGGTTTGTGGTTGCTCTTTGCTCTTGAAAATCATATCATACATTTAGAAATTTCTGAAATAATATATATATTTTTAATTTATTATTATTATTCACTGAATTAACCCATCAAAAATTATTCAGTTTTACCCCTGTGTCAGACCGGCAAGCTTTGGTGTAACGGGTGAAAAATATCTTACTATATGTAATTTGGGAGTACGGAAGCGTTTGGAAATCAAAAGGCTACGGGTGGACTTCAAGACTAAATGGCAACGCTTGTTCTAAAAAAATTCTGAAAACGTAAAAAAAATACCAAATTGTATGTATACAGCCATAGGCCTACATTTCAAATTGATAATAAATGCTTTTTTAAATTATGCAAGCTATTCCCACACACGCCCTCCAAGAACTCTGCTTGAAATCACATAACATTTTATTCGGATTCGGTTCGGGCCTCGTAATCTATTTGATACGAGTCGGGCCGGGTACGGAATTACATATAACGGGTCGAATGCGGTTCTAAACACTGCATGGAGGCATGGATACCCTGGCGGATTCAGGGGAGCCAGCACTTGACAGGGACCCTTGAATACATAAAATTGTATGTGAAATTAGGTGGCCGGGCGGGCGAGGGTATTTTGTCTGGGGGCCTAGAAATTCTAATGCCCTAGAGTAGACTGTACGTCTTACCACCGTCTGCATGTATGCCAAATGTTTTACACCGGTAAACAGGCCTACTTCTCTCTTCTTGTGTCGTAGTTCAAAACAGCGAGGTAACTACATTTCCTGTTGTATTACCAGAAAAATAAAAAATAAATCCATACAGTAGATCAGTACTGGCCGGTTTCAGAGGTAGCTTACCTGTACATATTAACACACCAGAGAACTGGGTTAGAGATGAGCTGGCTATTTGTTGAATTCAAAGGTTCATGTGCGACTCCTTACCCAAAGACGAGTGCGAGACGCCAAGTGACACTGCGTGGAAACGGCACGCGACTGGTGCACGAGCAGAGAGCCCAGAGCGACGGTACGCTGGGCCCGCGCGTGCGACAAACGACACGCGACTCGCCGCTGTACGTCGGTGCTGGATTTTCCAACATCGAGGAAGCGTTTTGGGGTGGTGTGAGAGAGGAGGAAAATGCGGTGTGGAGCGTGAGGATGCGGAATGGGAAAGCAAATCCAATAGTATGTAAAGTGCAAACTTGTGCTTATTAATATTTGCGCCCCGACTAAAAAAAAGCCATGGTATCCTACAAAAAGAACAGCATATGACAGTTATGGCTATTTTAAGGCTGAGTGCGTCATTCAGTTTTCGTTTAACCTAATGCAGCATTTCTGAAATGCAAAAGGGGCTGATGTAAATAACAGGAAAGCCGAAGGGAAAACAAGGAAAACTACTTATTAAACATATTGTGAAAAATATAAATACCCCTTGATGCCTTATGCAGATGTAGACGAATGAATTCCACATTCCGATGCCGCAGTTTATGGGCTGCCTTACTATGCGCTGAATACTTAAAAAGCACGAAGGAGAGAGGAGTTTGAGTCAGGTATCCAGTTCAACTGTATCATCATTTGTTCAGTGTGCTATGGTGTCAAATTGAAGAAGCCTTTTTATAACGCCTGCGCCAGCGTATGGAGTGCCTCACGACATATGGAGTCAAACCTCGACTTTCAGGAATTCTACTGTAGGAATACAAAGGTAAACGAGTCCTTTAAAATATTATAATCTGCTCTAGGCAGAGAAAGTGATGCGATACTCAGGTATAAATAAATCTGACGGTAGGCTAATTGGTGGGATACCTATATTGGTAACGAAGGAGCTATAGCGAAGGGGCGCAAGCAAAACTATATTTCAGCGCTTTACACATAAAGCTTTACCAAGACCTCAAGTTGTCATAAAATTCCAAGTTATATATTCACCACATTGGATTGATAACCGCAAGAGTCTAGTTTTTTTCCTACAATTCAGAAATACTATTTGTCCTAAAATTTTAATGTAGAATCTCGTAAAGCGTCGCGCCCTGAAACGATGATATTCTCACGATTAGTTGACTGTTGATTGGTTATGACTGTTTATTAGATCTATGAGACTTATGAACAGTAAATTAACATATGATCTCATTGTGGTGCATAATAAGTTTTCCATTGCTTAAATGTCTCTAGATTGTCAAAGGTCAAACATTCGTGCTGAAGATTACATTTAGACATAGTTTTACGTTTCCCCAAGTGTCAGATTAACAGTTTATGGTTCATACTCTTTTCCGGCTGAGTTTCATAGATGCTGTCGACGAACATATTTTCATATTTTGTTTGTTGTAAAGTGCCGGAATTTTTGAACTTGTATTACATTTGGAAGGCCAGTTCCCTCCAGCAGATCTATCTATCTATCTATCTATCTATCTATCTATCTATCTATCTATCTATCTATCTATGCAACTAATTTGATTTTATCTGCCAGTATTCATACATAAGGCAAATAATATTTTAAATAATTCTAAATGTCTTCTGTAAGTTAGTCACAGTTTCAAGTCGCTCTATTAAAATAATACACTAGTTTCATGTCTCATTGTGCCTGGGTGGCGGCCACAGTCGGGGACGTTACGTTTCTCACAGCTTTTGATAGGGAGGCTGGAATGATGACAGTGAGTGCATTGTTCCCGGCTCGCTGTCGCAGCCTCTGCTGTCCTGACAATGACATTCCCAGACCTCATCCAGCGATCTCTGAGTGGTGCCAAGCATGCAGAAAATCCCGTGCACGTGTTTTGTGCATTAACTGGAATTTTCAGTACGATATGGTGGTTAATCACAACTCTGGAATTAACCAGCATAAAACAACTTTTTGTACGACCGTTGCTGTCTGATTCTAATCATCTATTATCGCGTGTTTAAACTTAAATAGTTCTTAACTAGCAAAACTAATACAATTTGGAAGGGGAAGGAGGCTGCCATCTAGTGTCACAATTTTTAGTTTTGATCGTTATTGTATTATCCTGGAAAGGTGTTTTTCTCTTTGTGTCTCTTTCGAAACCGTTTCCTTTAAGTAGGCCGGTTGAAGTGTTTATTGGCTTTCATTGCCTTTCGCTTATTCTTGATTTAACAATTCAGCTAGGCCGTACCGTGAATCCACCCCTGGACGTGCCTCCTGTTCATCGTCACACCCTCCTTCTGGTATAAATCTACACCGGATTACAAGCCGCCCCTGTGTAGTTTCAACGGGATGCTACGTCTCGATCTTACTTTCAGATCTCGGTTATTTTGGCTTGCAGGGGTTGGTGTGATGCAGACACTCAGGTTATGGGTCTTGGAGCCACTTGTCCATGACTTTGTGTTTTGGTTGCAATAACCAGTGTAGAAGCTCATGGATTTATCTACTTTAGTTGCTTTGAAGACACCCTAAAATCCACAAAAACCGACAGTGCGCGTCATCCCATTTCTCCTGTTTTTTTTTCTGGATTCTGCAAGAGCGTTCAGTGTCACTTAATCGATAGTGACACCACACGCTTACTCTGTCTGCTTATACTGCTGCAAAGGCAGTGCTCTTAATGCAAGGGCATAGGTTTGGTTTCAACATTGGTATATGAGCTTCAAACCCCCGGCCCACCTGAACACACATAATGCTCCCACAATATTGATAGGGATCTGTCCCTACTGTCCATACACAAATCTATGCCCTTGCACGCCTGTTTAACATTCAAAGTCAGTTTAATCTAATGCCATGCTTGGCCTTCTGTAAGAGGATGCGTTATGGAAACTCAGTAGGCCTATATTTTTTCAGTTTGTTTCAGATCTGTAGCGTCTCTGCTGTGTGCCGTCGTCTTAATCACCCTGACTTTCATTCCAGATCTAATTACGTTTTTACGCTTATTTGTGCCTGAACAGAACATTCACTTCAGGCATTTATTGCAGAAAAATAGCAGATGCCTATATCTAAAAAAAAAAAGAAAATCCCCAGAGACGTTCAGGGGATGTCCGAAAGTGCACTGCTGCATTTTCAGGGCAGAATAATTCTGGGATCAAAATACAGCATCTTCTCTTTCTTAGTTATTAAATATCAACACTATCTAACATAAAATACACACAACTCACCACCCACCAGGAATGTCATGCTAACACGAGTGCAGAGCTTTTTCAAAGGGAAAGTAACATGTCCAGGTTAGCGTCTCTGAAGCCCTGCATTCTTTAACAACTGCATCATGGCATGAGGGACCAGAGGAATACACCCAATACCGTTAGTTTCATTTCATGTTGTAAATAATGGAGATTTAATTAAGCTTTCTTTGGATAAGTTAAAAGTAAACAGTCATTTTGAGGGTCATTTGGGGCAGCCTCCCTTCTTGGTTTGTGACGACACTCCGTAGGGAGGTTAGTTGGCTTAATGTCCTGTTTCTGGTTCCATGTTGTGATGGCTTGGTTACTGATGGCACTTTGGGGTGCGGAAATAAAGCAGCCGTTTGTTCATTTGCTTATCCCTGTGCAGGCAGATTTTGTTCATCCCCACTTCTACCAATACTGGGCATGCAAAAAAAAAAGAAAAGAAAAATGAACATGCAGCCTTCCCTTTTCTGTAAATTGAAATAAATTAAAGCGATAATGGTGTATTTTCTATTAGTTTTAATTAATGAAGTTTAATTGGGGTGCTGACTGAGTTTCTATTTAACTTTGTGTGACACAATATATAAGGACCTGCTTGAACATATAGTAATAAACAAAATGAAAGATGTTTCTTCAGTATGTATTTGTAACATGCAGTTAATTGGAATCTGTAACGTATCCTTACAGTATGAGTGTGTGCTTGTATGTGTCCTACAACAACAACAACAAACAACAAATTTATTTTTGTATAGCGCATTATCACAACATTACCTGCCTGGGAAAAGATAAGGGGTTAGAAAATCGATGGATGGATAGAAGATATTGATTAACAGAGTAATCATATTTTTAAAATAAATACTTGTTTCTACTATTTCATCTGCAGTACGTAGCCAAATAACTTACGGAGGACATTTGAAGCAAAGATGTTCTATCGACACTTAACAAACGTATAAAGTGCAAAAATTCGTAGGTCGGGCATCTAGGCTGGAATCCTATACTGCCAGTGGATCAGAACCTAGTGCATATGGGATGGTTCCTGGTAACAGGGCCGATCGAGACCAACCACCCAGACTCTGGCCCAAAGTACCGTCAGAGCTGGAAATGAGTCGCAGAGTGGCAGTAAGATCTTTCATTTCGGGCATGTAGCTTGACATAATTATTACTTCTTAGCAAACCGTTGGAATGCATGGAATCTGTCCTTGAGTGTGGGGAAAGCGAGATAATGCCGGACAGAACCCGCCACGATGCGTAAGCCATCATTTGGTAGCCACTCCCCTGGCAGTGCTCCCCACGGGCTCCTGATGGATATAGCGCTCATACTTAAGCTATCCTGGTCATGCTGGAGTGTCACTGAGGTTTACGACCCATCATTAACAGTTATCAGCTCTGCCTGATGACTCCGCTAATGACTCCACTGTTACGGATGTCGCTGCCTCTGTAGCCACAACGTTGCCTTAATCTGTCATGTGTGGCATCAAGCAGGCGTTCTCGGCTTCGCCACATTCCTCGCTGAGTCAGATAAGCCAGGCGGCTGCTTTAGGCTGTAGGACAGCGGGCCCTCCCTCCGTATCATACAAACACTCACTCACGCCTGTACACAACCTCCCTTCCAGCGAACATACACCCCAGCTCTTCCTTTGTAGTAGAAAGGTCATGCTGGGCTCTAGCTCCGCGTTGGCTTGAGACATTTTTCCTGAGAGTTGCGTGTGCGTGACTGAACTCCCCGCGAACAAACTAATCGGACAAAAAGAATCACTTTCCAGCTAGACCCTCCCCCAGGCTGGTCTTGTCTTGGCCAAAACTTGAGGGGTGTGATGTAATCAATGAGGAATGCGACAAATTTATTCAGTGTGTCTGTGGTTTTCTGCCCGTCTGGCATGCCTGTTGATTCCTGGTGAATTAACCTGGGTATAAACACCGGGTACCGCTGCAGCATTTTGCCTATTATAGCTGCCTCACTCCGAATCGATACATTCTGTTCGCGGTGGAGGTGGGGGTTGTGTTTGTGCGCTCCCTCTCTCTCTCTCTCTCTCTCTCTGAGGCTTCTTGAGTTCCCGTTGAGTGATGTGTACCTCCCGAGGCCAGGAGTTCAAAAGCAGGACAGGTAGCGGGGTTGAGTAACTGCCGCCTGCTGCCCGACACCTGAGCTGATGCCACTGTGTAACATGGATCTGAGGTAGCCACTCCTATTGGCTGGGCGAAGGGAGAGGGGTGTGTCTGTGTATCCGTTTGGCTGTTAGACCACAGACTGGCAGTTGTGCATCTTTTCCTGGTAGTCTTGGTGGGGCGGATGGTGTTTTCACAGGAAAAGTGAAGCGCAAAGACACAGAAGCGGGCTTGTTGTTCAGTGGGCATGATGACTATGCACATTTTCATCACAGCCCAGGGAGCGATGTGCAATGTGTATTAATGGGAATTAGTCATGTTGCAATGTAAGATTGTGTTGCACTTTGGCACAATGAATTCAGGTAATTCACTGCAAGAATGCAACCAATAACTATATAAAGATCCTAACTGTTTGTCCTTTCTATTAGTTTAGCTCTTTTCTGCATTCAGTTCAGGATTTTTGCAGCAAAATTATAATCTGTTGCCAAAGTGAAGTGTTGTTTTTGATTCACTTTTCTTCTTTTAGGAAGTTCCCCTGGTAGGAAGGGATTGAAACCTGACCATGTCACGCAGCCTCGTCATTGATTCTTCACAGAAGACCAAGCTGTTTGCTCACAACACCATCCTATTGTCTCCAGAAGTTACCTTCTACAGCTCTATGACTGTCTAGACCTGCTGCGGCCTTATCGTTGCTCCTTGTATGTCAGGCGCAATTGTACAACCCGCCCTTTGAATTTGAGCCTTCATCTGTCCTCATCCTGCTGTGGACTTTAATCGAGAGGCGAAAACGGGCCCAGGCTGAATCGAGGTGCCCTGCTGTTGCTTAGATACGCCAACCGAGGACGCTGCCCCCTTCTGGCCCGCGCAGATTTCGGACATGTCCGCCAAGGCGCCTATCTACCTGAAGCGTAGCAGCCGCAAAGGGAAGAAGGAGAGGCTGAGGGACATCCTGTCCTCGGATATGATCAGCCCCCCGCTGGGGGATTTCCGCCACACCATCCACATCGGCAGCGGCGGCGAGGAGAGCGACTTGTTCGGCGACCTGTCCTTCCTGCAGGGTAAGTTCCACCTACTGCCCGGACAGGGCCAGCCTGGGAGCGAGTGCAGCGAGCCCTTTCAGTTCACACGCACCGCCAGCGTGTGCAGCCATCCGCCACCCTCAGAGAACTCGCCCCTGCTCAAGAACGCCATCTCCCTGCCCATCATTGGCGGGGTGCAGGCCCTCACGCTGCCCGCCTCAGCCCCTGCTCCCGCCCAGCCCCAGCCCCAGACATCCTCCCAGGCACCACCTCCCAAACCGCCCAGGCTCCACCTAGATGACAAGGCTCCACTGCCTACCCAGGATCCCTCGCTGCCCTCTGCCTCGTCCTCCATAGCAGCCCCGCTCGCTTCACCCACCTCCTGGGCTTCAGTAAACCAAGACAACGACCTCCAAGACCTCGACAATCCCTTAGAACAGCCCTACTTATCCCACACCAGCTCCCTGCTCTCCCTCCACCTAGACCTGGGGCCCTCCATCCTGGACGACGTGCTCCAGATTATGGATAAGCACAGGGCGAGCAGCCTGAATAGTTCCTGTGTGCAGGGAGGACTGCAGGAGCTCTTCACTTGAGGACCAGCATTTCTGTTGTAAATTCTGAAGTAGCTTTGAGAAACTTTTTTTTTTTTATATATGTATATGTATATGACTGGAGCTGACCGAACAGACCATGGTGTATAAAACCCTCATTTGCAGAATGATGGCTATGATCACACTCCAGGCCCTTCATGCATGTTACGAGGACCAGGGAGAAGCAACAATGCATCTTGGACTATCCCACGGTATAGACTTTATCCGATGTTCCTCAATTGTTAAGCTCTTGCTCCTGTTGCTAATATTCAAAGAAAGCACCAGTTCCGCTGGGAAGCAGTCCAGTGAATTTCCACTGTGGGTTTAAGGAAACAGGGGTTCCAGCTCCCTGCCACCACAGCAGAGCTCCTTCCTCATAAACTAGAGGTTCTGGGCAAGGGAGGAACACAGTGGAACAGAGCGTGACTTCCCTGCCCTTTGAAATACTACTCTGCGTTGTCTTAGAACTGCAAAGATAAACCTTCTGTTTTGCTTTCTGCAAAAATTGTGCGATATGTCATAAGGCACTAAGAAGCTTGGCCCGAGAAAGCAGCCTTTGCTTCCAAGCCTTGTCCAAATATTTGCTACCACTCATGGACACTGGACATTGAGAGAAATGGACCCTGGCTCTGTTAAGGTACTCGGTCCTGTCATACTTGACCTCGCTCTTTGCCATCAGAATATTCCAACACTGAGAACTGAGAGTCATGTGATCTGGCATGATCTGATGGTGCTGATTGGAATGGCTTAACAAGGCCCATGCAGGACCCATGCCTTTATACTGCAGTAAACACGGTCACAGGGTACTTAGGCTTGCCGGTGTGGGCCTGTATTACTCTGCTGTGTTTCTATATTAAAATGAAATGAAGTTCTCAGCGAAGCCATTCCTCAGTGACTGGCACTTCGTGCGGGCAGAGTCTTTTAAGTGCTTAAGTGGGTTTCCTCAAGTATCCTGCACCAATCCAAAAACACATGGTTTGGCTGAATTGCACATATTGTGTGTGTGTGTTTGTGTGCATGTGAGTGTGCGCCCTGTGATGGACTGAAATTCCATCCAAGGAAAGGACGGACAGCCAGCCTTGTGCCTTGTACTTCTTGGGACAGTCTAAGTATGACCCTGAAATGGATTATATTAGATTATAATAGACATGACATAAAAAAGTTATATGTAAGAAACTGTAATTGAGAAACATGATTCCCGTAGACAGTTTATACATAATACACATTGCAAGTACCGGTAAGTGCAGAACTTTGCTGAAAATCACCATGCAAAAATAATGCTGCCTGTATTTTACTCTGGAAAGTATGTAGCATATTAACTAGAACAGTGTGGTGATGAAATAGCTTTACTGTGTACAACAGAGAAACAACACAGAGAAACAATGTAATATTTTCAATGGGAATGAACGATGTGTGGTAGAATTCTTGTGTTTAATGTTCTTGAGAATTTCAAGTTAAATCGAACAGCAAGTCTAGAGAACGGGGTCAGAAGTGTCCCGCGTTTCTTCACAATGTGATATTTTGAGAATTTTGTGAATGTAAAAGAGAGCGATTGGAATTTCTTTGTTTCAAGGCTTCATGATATAAAACAATATTCTACTGCATTATTAATTACAGGGCACCAGTATAACCAGTTTAGCTACTGGACTAACATGTCCCTTAACTCAGTCATCCACGTGGATGCGTAACAGTCGTAGCAGGAGAGAGTCATGAATGTCCTTGATGAATGTCTGACTGTAAGAAGCGGAGTCTTTCTATTTGTCATTGTCACTATGAATGCTACTGTAAAGCTTTGCGACAGTGTGGATGTAAATGTAAAATGCTGGTTGATATATATTGTAATTCCATTGATGTACATGTCACATGACCAAGATTGCTTGCCTGCGTTTACTTACGTACTTAAATGTGATCCTAAGCATTAGGATTCCAAAAATCTGACATTTGAAGTGGTAGATAGAAGAGAACACAGCTAAATGTGACTTAGGCTAGCAGGGAGGATGGTAGCACTTAGCAGATAACTGACTTCCTCCGAGACCCAACCTTCCAGGTCCCTTACCTTGCTTATGCTAAACACCCAGAAGGCTGATTGTCGAGCCAAACGTCCTGGTCATCATGTGATGGATCAACGCATGCTGGAAACATGGCAGGTCAACTCTTATAAAGCTAAAACACAGATACAGCTAAAACAAAAGTGAGTCCAGCTCCACATAAACAGTCTTTGTTTGTTTCATTTTTAGTTCTTTGTTTTTGAGAAGTTGGGTTTTCAGAAGCCTGAAGCAAGTGAAAACTTTGCATTTCGTATAAGCTTGATTTTGTTTGGTTTTGCAAAGCCTTGCTACTGGAATAATGTCATAAAATGTAGTGACCGTTACTGACTTGTGGGACTGAATGGCAGTTTTAACACAGTTTAATGTAAACAGTCGGCCGTTTTGTCCCTCAGCTGTAGGCTGTTTTCTAACAAGCTGCAAACTTGGTCAGAACAATGTGTTGAGCCTTAGCTATAAATGGTGATTGTAATAAAACACTTTCCTTTGTCCATTAAAAAATGGCGTGAAGTCATTCTTACGCTACGTGAATGAGCAGGGTGGCGCCAATGAACGGTACATTGTGGTGGTTGCTCACCATGCTGATTCATAATGGTTTACTCTCCTTTTCATATAAGTAGCTGGACGCTGCTTGGATGCTGCATGGTCGCTGCATGGTCGCTGCATGGTCACTGCATGGACGCTGCATGGTCACTGCATGGACGCTGCATGGTCACTGCATGGTCGCTGCTTTCCTACATGGTCGCTGCTCATCTCACTGCTGCTTTAAATTGTGTCACCTCTCCTTATAGACTCTGTTTGCACACACAACACCGTGGCCTCATGTGATGTGGACAGACGAGTGGAGTCCATTCGGAGTGGCACTTCCCATTCCCTTCATCTAGCAATACAAGAGTGACTGAGGGCATGTGTAAAACAAGGTGCTTTGGTCTTTAAGTGGCGCTTTAGAGCATGTGGGGGTTTTATGAAGGGGAGGTTAAGTGTGTCGAACCAAACGGCTGTATTGCTGAGAGCCCCCCCCCGGCAGGATCCGTGTGTGTCCGCGCCTCTGGGTGGATTCTTGCCCCTGCTCTTGTTTGCCTTGACTTGCCCACTTTTTAAATGGTCCTGGGAATCACTCCAACTGGCTTTGTTAACACACAGGCTCCGGAAAACGCGGCCGTTGACCCCGAGAGCACGGAGCCCTGGGAACAGGAGCAGCGACCAGGGTGGAGGCCATGGTGATGGGATTACTAGAATAGCTGAATCAACAATTGAATGTGCACATTAGCTAGGCAACTCGGGTCTCATCTGGAAATTTGTCCAGAATAAAATATGGCACTTCAGCTGTGACAAAGAAATGCCTTTGAGTGTGTTAATGCTCCGGGAGACCACATCTGTTCAGGAAAATATATGGAGATGATACTTCTGAGTAGCGATATGTTTGTAGTAATTTGATGTCTATGAGAATGAGAACTAACATCAATAATATTAATGACGGGAGTTTGGATTTGCACCCATGACAATCAGATGACTAATTCTGCCCATTCTTCGGCACTGATAATTGAAGAGCAAATTTCCAAAAGTCACTCAGTTCATTTTCTGTTGTTTTTGAGATGAAACTGCCAATGAACTAAAGTCATTCTTCCTCATATCTTGCGTATCTTACATAGTCATATGTCATATATTACAGTTTTGGAAACTGAATCTCACTCAGTCCTTTTGTTATTCAGCAAACTTTTGTTAAATTTCCAAAATGTTTCCAATTTAAACAGATTTGAAGTATCAGCATTTCAACATTCAAGCCCACTTATTTAGAACTTATAAACTAACAAAAAACTTACAAAATAAAATGTAAATCATGCAATTAATATTGATCTGGCAGTTATTTTGTTTGATATCTCTTAATCTCTATTAAATTTTCTCTATCATACAAAAATCAGTGGTGCAAAAAGATGAGAGAAACAAGGTGAGCTTGTTTCTTCTAAGGATATTGCGGCCTTAGAAAAGGTGCAGCGTAGGGCCACAAGAATGATTCCTGGTCTTAGAGGAATGTCATACGAGGAAAGGTTAGTTGAGCTAAATCTGTTCAGCCTCAAGCAAAGGAGACTGAGGGTGGACATGATCCAGGTCTATAAGATTCTAACAGGTTTGGATGCTGTTCAACCGAATAGTTACTTCAGCATTAGTTCAAATACAAGAACTCGTGGCCATAGGTGGAAATTAGCGGGAGAACATTTCAAACTGATAACGTAGTGCAAGCTGAGTCCTTCGGTTCCTTTAAATCAGAGCTAGATAAGATTTTAACAACTCTGAGCTATTAGTTAAGTTCTCCCCCAAGTGAGCTCGATGGGCCGAATGGCCTCCTCTCATTTGTATAGTTCTTATGTTCTTAAAAACATCGATAATGTAATGACTTTGGCAAATGGAAGCATATATTCTGCCTCCCAGCGATGTGTCAGTCTACCTTCAGGTTTCCCAGCATGCTCAGCAACTTCCATCCATCCATTTTGTGGGCCTGCTTATCCTATGCAGAGCCGTGGGGGTCAAGGGCCTGCCCTGGGGGCTACAAGTACAAGGCAAGGAATAACCCAGGATGGGGCACCAACCTCGTAGCTGTGACCAGAAAAAGGGGTTTGAAGATGGATGGATGCATGGATCAAGCCTGCAGCCACTGTGGTAGGTAAATTTAGCTGATCGGGGGTGCTGAAGCAAAATTTCTAGGGGGGGGTTCAAACCCATTTCTTTAATACATGACTAATCACCTGGAATGGGTGATTTTTAATATACACCTCCCATCTACATGGGGGCAACTACTAGAACACCCTGACCATAACTGTTATAGCCTCTCAACACAGCTCAGTGATTAAGCTAGTGAGGAATGGCAACCATTTGCCCCACACAAGACTGTCTGCTGTACAGCACCTGCGATGTACAGAGCTGTAGCCCTCCCACTCCATTATAAAAATAATCTTTTTATGCCGCGATTATTACATTGACGGCTCCCTGTGTGGCTAACACAAGAGAGATCAAACTCGTAGACGCTAACAAAAGGGATTCCCAGTTGGCGATGCGGCTGAACAACTGAATCAGTGTTGGTCTCCATGCCTGAAAGCCTCGGGACAGAAGCGGGAAGTCAGTGAGCAGGGAGCCTCTGGCTGCATCTCGCTCACACACAGCTCAATTAAACATGCAGTAAAGGCAAGGAACATACATTTGCAATGTCGAGTCATACCCACATTCGACAAACTAAATAGTATCTTTATAGGTTGCGCTCTCACTGTATTTCCTGTTGTTTGCGGACTTGTGCTTCTTTGAATAAGGGACGACTGAGTGAATTACCCGCGATAAATTTGGACCTTCATCAGTCGGAGATCCATTTAGCACCCAACGCTCTTTGTTGCTGGGAAAAATCAGAGCCGGGGGAGGGGTGACAATTCCCTATTGCCAGTTTCCTCAGCTCGGTCGTCAAGGTTTCGGCACTACAGCACTTCATTGATCTATGTCTCAGAGGTGGGAGAGGGCTCAAATAAGTTAATTTCTCTTTTATTGCTTTTCTGTAAGTTTGCGTTTCCTATGGTGCCAACGTCTCCTGGATCTGCTGATATCAAGAATTCCACTAATCTCAACGGGAAAAGTAACGGAAAGATTTCAGATGTAATGGAACGTCCTGATTCCAAGATTTCCCATCCTTGACTGTTTTCACTTGATATGCTTATAAGAATAATTTTCATATTCTTGCCTGTGACATATATGTGATTACTTATAAACTTATATATGTAAAAATAAGTATTACTACGCTATCTGAAACAGAGTAAGCCAGATAATCCTGCAGAGAAAACTAATTTCGACGGCTAGCACTCCAGACTTTTCCCCCCAGTTTTTCCCATAGCTAGTGCTCATATGTGAAACTAGGTACATAGAATTGTGCTTTATGGTGAACGGATGTAATATCCCCATCTGCTGGACGATTGAGGTAATGAATGAAAAGATCTGCTCTTCTGTTACTGGGTTGACCGAAGCAATCATTATACATTTTATCTGCTTTTCTGTTGACGTGTTCAGTGTTTAGTTACAAAATTCATAAGGGAACTGAGAAATGTATGATAAATACCAAAACTACTGGTAAACTACAAAGGATTCCATTACGGAAACAGTGACACCAATACGCAAACGTGCCCTGCTGAACTGGCCTGGAAAAGAACGTTTCAAACAAATCGCATGACGCAAGTTCCGGTTCTCGTAGAAGCGGTTCCGGCCCAATTCAGGTCCCATCCCAAGCCCGCCGTAGTGGAGCCAAGATGGCGGCTGCCGTAGATAGTGTGGTTAATGTGTGAGTATTTCTTCTTTATTCATTATAAGTGATGTGGATTTTCTGGGGTACGTTTCTGAAGCGGATTCGATTTGGATTATAAAACAGCCTGTGTGTATTGCGTAATCCAACCGGCACCGCTAAGTGCCTTAAAAAGCAACTAACCTGTACTGTTCAGCTCATTCATTGTTCAAACATACTTAAACTTTAGGTCACTAGCTTGCAAGATGTTTATGAGGTACATTTTAATGATCGAAATCCTTGATTTACATAAGAGATATATCACGGATGTGAAAACTAACGAAACGTAAATTTGCCTCTATTTCTATTTCTTGGGTATCACAGTTGGATATTTTTCTCCTCGATAAAGACGTTAATGCCTGTTGGCTTCTCATTCCCGGGTCGTTTCAGCTCTGTTTTTAAAAGGGGTTTACAGGGTGAGCATCCGTGTGTATTAGCAGCAGAATGCTGAAGGCAGCTGACTGAAAGCCACGGGCTTTGTTCTTCGGTGAGCTGCCTGTCTAGACGTTCATTAATGAATCGTAAATACCATTATAAAATTCATTGTATAGGAGACTCGTATTTTCTTCAGGCGCTTAAATTGTAAGGAAAATACTCCGTATGAACTACTATGAACCAAACGGATGGATAATGTTTTTTGTTTCTTTTTTTTGCGTTCACCCAATTAATGATCCTCAATATAAACTATTGTCATAATATTCCGTTGTTTAATCAATTCACCGTGTGGTTATAAATAAAACATAAAGTCTGAAATTAAACTTCAAAAAATACAAATAAACATTATTAACACATATTCCGCAGTGGGCCACCTATAAACGTGGTTTCTGTTACATAAACCTTTAATATCGGGGGGGAAAATGCTTATGTCCTGTTTCCAGGATGATCTTATTGTACCTGGTGACGCTACCACCCAGGAAAAAGTCATTTGTCCCACAAAATGAAAGTGATCTTCTCCATGGTCAAATAGTGTCCTGTGTTTAGTGAAGAATGAATCTTAAATGCCAGTGTCTTGATTCTAGAATGCCACGTGTTTTATATCTGATCGGTGTGCGGTTTTTACATGCATAGAAAGTCAGTGTTCGGGCACTTTGGCCAATGTGCCCTTTGTGTGCACGTGTCACAGCCTCGGGGAGCAGTACTACAGGGACGCCATGGAGCAGTGTCACAGTTACAATGCCCGGCTGTGTGC